CAAATATATTTAAATGCATCATAAAATATGATAGTGTTTAATATTTAAAATAAAATTACTGTTACAATTAATAAATTAAAAAATATATAAATTGAAAGCTTACGCCATTTTGCCTTTGTTGCATCCTGTTATGGTAGTAATTTTTTTTCATAGACCGTTGATTTTTATATGGAAAACGGGATGATTGTGTTATTTGTGGTAATACTTTCTGCACCTGTGATAGCGCTAATCTTTTATGCATGACATTTTTTGTTCGTAGTGACTTAAGCGCTGCTAATCTTAGTGCTTCCACATCTTCATCATCATCATCATCCTCGACTTTGATTTTTGATTGTTGAGGAATTACAACCATCTGGTAAAATAATAGATGAAACTTGATATGAGATAATTGACATAAGATCTATTCTTTGTCGCACTCAATTAAAATTTTCTGTAGAACTTTCTAATTTGATGTCATAAATTGACACAATAGTTGAACATTTTTGTTATTCATTGAATGTAAAGAAAGATAGAATGATGTGCCGATTTATGTTACCAAATGGAAAGTATTCTATCTCGCTTTCGCTAAATTTTAGATATATAGGATGTATTTAAGTATATTAACAGATTTTAAAGGAAGATTCCTCACACAAATTCATGACAAAAATTTCATATAACTATATATTCAAAACAGTTTAATTTCAAAGATATAAGACATCAAAGTTAAAAAAAATTTCATTTTTACAAAATTTCGAAAACTATTTATTACAATGAAACTTTGTATATGTTGAAGGACATAAAATCTCATTTATTGGTACTATCTCACACATATCTTTTGGAATTATTTTTTTGTTCAATCAAGAATGGTCAAAAATAAGCTAGACTTTCTTTTAATAAAGAACTAAGCTGTTTCAGATATAGTCATATAAAGTTTTCTTGAATTTATATAAGAAGACTCACATAAATCTTAAAATCTTTTAGCTTATATTTAATAATAATAGGGTTGAGTAAGTTAATGTTTTTTTTTTAATTAAATTAAGTTAAAGTCAATGGCTTATAAAATTAATTAGTTAAACTAAAAGAATAAATAAAAAACTAATACAGTTAAATTAAGATTGAATTAACTCAAGTTAAACAAAAAATTAATTTTGAAAAATATTTTTATTAATATAATTATATTTTATTAAA